CTGTCCGTGTGGCAGGTGGGGGAGGGACACTCAGCTGGCGTCCTGCACCTTCCCACCTCTGCTGTCTTGTTGGCCCCAAAGCGTGAACAGGTCCTGTAGGATTTGTGGGCATGTTCCTGGGGCGGGAGACCCTCATCCCAGCGCTCCTTTCTCCACAGGGACATTTGCATGACCGCTACGGACAGCTGGTGAACGTTTATACCAAACTCTTGCTGACCAAAATCTCCTTCCACCTCAAGGTAGTTTCCTTGGGCGTCATGGGGCTGGGGGTGGAGGACCCTGGGCTTTTCTCTCTGTGATATCCTGGGAAGCCGGGTGGTGGCATCTACTGTGTCCCAACCTTGACCTGAGGGGAAACCAGAGGTGCCCAGGGTGCCTTGAGAGTCAGGGCAACTTGAGACGTTTTCCTCTAATGCCGGGGGGAGTGTCTGCTCTGCCCTTGGCTCCAGGCAGCCTCTTGCCCTGGTTGGACGTCCCCTCCTCCCTGTCCCCCATCTGTCCCGTCACCTGCAGCCCCCTCTGCCAGTGCCCGGGGCAGATAGAGGCATCCCCAGCATCTCCTCCTTTCCTCAGAAGCTAGAACCCGTTCTGGGCCGGGGCCAGCATGGGCCTCAGCTGAGTGGGGGTGTCCTCTCCACAGCACCCCCAGTTTCCTGCGGGCCTGGAAGTGACGGACGAAGTGTTGGAGAAAACTGCTGGGACCGACGTCAACAATATGTGAGTCCCTCAGGACAGTGTGGCTGCCTGGCGCCACCTCCTTTCTCCCTCAGTTTCCCCGGTGGCTCCCTCAGCGTTCCACACTCTGGGTCCATGAGGCCAGGTGCTCATCAGCGGCTAGCTGGGGCAGAGGGTCCCGTTCCCAGGAAATGAGGCTGAAGTTCAAGGGCTGGGGTTTATTTGGAATCTGGCCTCTTTGGCTGAAAGATGGCTGTCCGGCGCAGAGGCTCTTGGGTGAACCGTGTTCCCTCTTCCCGCCTGGGGGGCGGGTCTCGTGTGGTGAGTCCCCTGCCCCTCTGCTCAGCCCTCCGCCTTCCCCTTGTAGCTTCCAGCTCACCGTGGAGATGTTTGATTACATGGACTGTGAGCTGAGGCTTTCTGAATCAGGTAAGCCAAGCAAGGAGGAGGCCCGGCCCCCCTGGGTTCTGCGTGGTTCCTCAGGGCCCAGAGCCGGATGAGAAGTTAGCCCCACCAGCTTATTCTGCCCCCGGTGTCCATGCCCCTGCTAGGAGGGGGTGAGGGGGCCTCCAGGTGCCCCCAGGACATGGGGAGAGGTGTCCACTGCTCCTGCAGGGCGCCAGGCCTCAGAGGTGTCCAGGCAGCGGCGCCCCCTCCTGACTCGGCTCCCCCTGCGTCGGGCATCTGCAGAGCCCTCCCAGGAGAGAGTTGGTTTGGGTCATCTTGCGTGTTTCCTGCTGTAAAAGGCCTGTGAGTCATGGACTTCACAGCCCAGGGACCCAGCAGCTGCTGGACAGGAAATCTCAAGAGGGCTCGAGCTCTCGGGGCCGCAGAGGGGATTGTTCTGGGCGGCAGCTTCAGGATGTCTTGTTGGGTGACTCAGTGCTCTTTGTAGGAGAACGAATAGCAAATGCCTTTTTAAGGGAAAATCGGGATTTGAGTGAGGTGGGTCTGGGCAGCCTCCTGGCACTCCTGGATCTGGACTCTGAGCTGTACCCAGAGGAGCCCAGACCCCACTGGGGAGCGTGGCCGCCGGCCTGTGACTGGCAGGGACGAGACGTGCTTCTCACAGCGGCCCCCAAGAGGGAAGATAGAGAAAACCCACAGTTGGGCGCCCCGCCCCTTGCAACGCTCACCTCTTGATGAAGCACAAAGAAGGGGCAGCCTAGCGGTCCACAGGCCGGCGTCTCCCTGGAGAACCATCCTGAATGCCCCTCAGTGGAGAAATGGTTTTGCCTCGTATCAAACCCCAAATAGTATTTTATGTGTGTTTCAGTTTTTATAGGAAGATGTACTTGATGTGACACGTAATTGAATGTTAAGATTTAGAGGGTGAAGGACTATGCTTAGCTGCCTCTTGCTCCTCCTGGGCTTGGAGGTTTGCAAACGGTCCCACCCTCGGCCAGGTGAGGACAGGGCCCCAGGGCTTGTCCTGGCATCTGTGTCGTGCATGGGCCACCCTGGCGTGCGGTCTGCCCGTTGTCATTTCTCTCTGTGCCCTAGATAAGAGGCCGGCTATGGTGGGGGCAGCCTCGTGTTTGTCCCTGGCCCTCCTACTTGGCTGATCTCACGAAAGGCTTGATTGTCAGGGACAGGGGAGATTGACCCTGGGTGCAAGTGAGGTTTTGGGGTCACTTGGGGCTTTCAGAACCAGGTCCCGATCTGGCTGCCTTGTGGCTCTCATCACAGTTGTAAGATGAGGCACTTGGCTACACTGCTTTGAGCCTCCTTCTTCCCTCGAAGACTGAGGATGAGCTCAAGGCCCACGGGTACAGGACCTTCGAAGTCACCCTATCCCTCCAGCCCCTCATTCCGGGTGCACTGCGTGGTGGCTCTTGGAAACCCTTGCTGAGCTGACCTGTATTCTCTTTGCCCCGACCCTGCTGTTGCCCTAGTTTGTGAGGGCTCTCGGGTCCATCTGGGGCAGCCAAAGCACAGGGGCTCCTGTCCTAGCAGTTTGGAGCATGTTTGTGTCCAAGGACCTGGGACAGAGTTGTCCTGGCCTGGCTAGAACCAGCAAGGCAGGTCCCCAGGCCGCTGCCTCCCAGGGTTGCTCTGCCGATGCCCCGAGATGAGGGCGTGGGGCCCACCCTCTGCACTGTTCTCACGAGCCTGTCACCGAGGCCACATCCCAGCTTCCCATGCGCATGCTGTTCCCTCCACCTCTGTTTGCAGTCTTCCGGCAGCTCAACACAGCCATCGCTGTGTCCCAGATGTCCTCGGGCCAGTGCCGCCTGGCTCCCCTCATCCAGGTCATCCAGGACTGCAGCCACCTCTACCATTACACAGTCAAGCTCATGTTCAAGCTGCACGCCTGTAAGTCCCCCCGGCCCCCTGCTGCCCTGCCTCGGGCCCCCTGAGGTTCAGCCGGAGCCACAGAGGGCTGTGTTTAGGTGGCTTACGTTGACAGATATTGGCTGTATCAGAAATGAAGATCAAGACATTTAAAAAAGTTATTTTTTAAAAAATGTTTATTTTTGAGAGGTGGGGGGAGGGGGAGAGACAGAGAGAGAGAAAATCCCAAGCAGGCTCTGTCCACGCTGTCTGCACAGAGCCCGATGTGGGGCTCAAACCCATGAACCGCAAGATCATGACCTGAGCTGAAGACGGACGCTTAACCGACTGCGCCACCCAGGCGCCCCTAAAAAATACTTCTCAGTTAAATGTGACGTAGTACACTAGCCTTAACATAACCACCACAGTTGTGGTGGAAAAGCACTGTTCTCCAACACAAGGGTCTAGTGAGAAGAGGGGTGTGGTTTTACACGTTTGCAGTTCTCTGAAATCCCTGGTCTTGAAGGAGGGATTGCCCTCTGAGGGCAGCCCACTGGGGCGCCTCGCATCCCGCAGGCTGGCGTGACACATCCAAAGAAGCGCACGTCACTTGCTCCCCGTTCACAGAGGGTTTGGCCCCGGTCGACCCTCTGAAGAGGTCTTGGTCCCTACGCCCCACCCTGAGAACCAGGGGCCTGGGGTGAATGAGCTGTTGCAATGCTGTCAGCCCAAGCTGGAGTCCAGAAGTGATTTCACAGCACCCCCTACAGGCATGCGCCGATCAGGCTTGCTGTGGTCAAGATGCTGACTTTGGA